CAGCAGCTCACAAGTAATAGGTGCAGAAGCTAAAAGTAGTTCACACAAAGTATTTTTAGTTATAGTTGATTTTGTCTCAGTCAAATCAGCTATCAACTACAGTAGTTAAAACTATACAGGATACTAAAAGTGAAGTTTCGTTTATGGTACAACTAGTCAAACTTTTTTTTACCTCTACACTAGTTACACAATGTTGAAAGTGACTGCATATCAGTTTAAACATTTAAAGGAAGTAGCTTTCATGTTTAAATTACATTTTCAAATTAAAAAAAAAAAAAACCACACACACAACCATGGCCAATTGGGAGTAACTGATCAAGAAAATTTCTCAAAAGGACCTATTTCAGACATGCAAGTGAGGGCATTCTTTTGCCAGCAAAGCTATACAAAACCATTAGCAATGAAAAGAATTGCATACTCTTGTCATAGTTTGGATTGCAATGTTCTCGCAAGGCTTCCTGGATGCATTGAACCTGCTGAGAAACAGCCGAAAGCATACGCTCCTCAAGTCTATTGAACTCATCAAAGCAGCCCCATGCGCCCACTTGACAAAGCCCCACAAAGATGCGTCCCATTGCCTGTAGGCAGAGAAAAAAAAAAAAAAGAGAAGATCAGCTTTATTTACACACACAGTGAAAAAAGTTACCTTGGTTATTCTTCCCTGTACACAGTGGAACAGGTGTAGACTGGATAGGATTGTGGTTACATATATTAACCCCCTATTTAATGTGTGTGTATTGCTGAGAATCTTTATGCCTTCAACAGAAACAACTACTTCTTTACCCACCACTCCACTCTTCTCTACCCACTCACACCACTCTTGCTTCTCAGATGTTTCAGTTTTTGAATGCCAGCTTCCATGTTTTAGAATGTATAAGGCACTACTAAGCAACTTCCACTCCTCTTTAGGGAAGTCTGTCACTTAATTATTCTAAAATCTCTGCAAGCACATTCCTAAACCTGCAGCAGAATTTAAAAGTAGTTCCGATGCTGCAATGTATCAGGAAGTCCATTGAGATAAGAAGTATGTGCAGCAACATATACGTTAGGAGTCAGCCAATTAAACCTACTTGATTTCCACTAAAGTAGGTGTACTTCAGTTGGTCCCACAGTATGACTGCGGGATGGTAATGGAAGACTGTAGTTTGAAAATATTTTAAGTTACTTTCCTAAAGCTTGGAGTTCAGATTTTCCCTTGCTAAATTATTGTCTAAAAGCAGAGCAGGGAGCTTCTAACCCAATTCTGCTTTAGGTGGTAGTGAGGACCAATGAAGCTGCACAGTAAAGTAACCAGAATCTATTTTACCAGATACAGGAACAAGCTTTCAAACATTTTTTGAAATCTACAAGCTGAAATGGCATATTAATGAGATCTTAACTTAAAATGAAGAATGTTCTGATGTTAAATGAAAGACACTATACCTGGAAGTCAAATGTTTCATCACAGTTGAAAACCAGAACAAAGCGGCCAAGCTGGTGTCCAAGGGCCTTTACAGATTCTGTTTTACCAGTACCAGCAGGACCTATTTTTAGAGTGGGATAAAAACAACATTAGTCTCTTCCTAGGCACTAAACTGACAATATTAACATCTAGAGTCTACGGGCTGGACTACAGTACCGCGGTAAGTCAGCCCAAGCTACACTACTTGAATAACGGAACTGAAGTCAATGTAGCTTAGCCTACACTGCACTGTGTCGGCGGGAGAGCATCTCTTCTCAGGGAGGTGGAGTACACAAATAAGTGGGAGAGACTTCAACAGACCTGCTAAATCGACACCTGCTGCATCGATTACAGCAGTGCAGATCTACCCTAAGTAGGGGGAGGGTTAGCTCAGTGGTTTGAGCATTGGCCTGCTAAACCCAGGGTTGTGAGTTCAATCCTTGAGGGGGCCACTTAGGGGTCTGGGGCAAAATCAGTACTTGGTCCTGCTAGTGAAGGCAGGGGGCTGGACTCCATGACCTTTTGGGGTCCCTTCCAATTCTGTGAGATAGGTATATCTCCATATAAATATAATAATCATATTTATATTATAAGTATAGACCTAGCCTAAGTGTTGCTCATTTTTCAAAATTGGAGTCTCAACTATGGAAGTTACTTTATTAATTTTATAGCTGATGAACATCAGTCTTTACCTTTAACAGAAGATACATATGGAATCAGTACAAACTTACCAAATGGTGAGCCTCCAAGTCTTGCCTCCAAGGCTTGCGTCATTGTCAGGTAACAGCGGTCAGTAAGAGGAGTCTGAACTAGTTTATCCTGAACACCAAGATACTCAAAGCCATAGTTGAATTTGGCATTTGCCATCTGAATGGACAGCTGTTGCAACACATCTGTCTGTTTTGGGTCAAAGTAGAATCGCATCTGGCTGAGCCACTCAAAGGATTTGGAGTTGTCAATCTTACTTTTGATCAGTGATCTTGTAACATCTCTTTGGTGCACTAGCTCTGTAATCTAGAGAACAAGCATCTCATTAGCAACCACCACGAAAAAAGACCATGTACTCTAATGAAACTAACAGTTTTACTGCATCTCACTGCACCTCAGTTTATGAAAAGCCATTGCTCGGTGCTAGAAGGCATCATCTAATATCCATCCTCTAGCTTGCAGAAAAGAGGAGCTAGTAAAGTCTGTAGATGCAGGATCTCTCCCAGTGAAGCTTCAGGCCAAGGCATGGTTCTGAAACCACACGAACTGTCCTTATGGACAACCTTTTTCTGTCCACACGCAGAGAAAGGAAGCACATCCATACTCATCCTGCTACACCTCTCTGGCACCAGATACTGTTAGTCACCAAATATTCTTGTCTGCCTCCAAGAAGCTGTAATGATGAATGATAGTGCCCTTAAACCAGCTCACATTTTCCTCTAAGAAACCCCAAGTGCTGTAGATGGACAGTGTTTCTACATCCCTCCCCACCATACCCCAAAGAGCGCTCACCTCTGAGGTCCCACAAGCTTTAATCCTCTGCACAAGTTATTCAAAGTCTATATAAAGCCACCAAGAGAATTGCTCAGACACTATAGGCTGAAATCCCAGCAGGTAGAGACCAAAACTGAGCTCTACATCTCCATTCCCAGCTTTCAGAAGCTGGAATCAGCAGCTGAATGAAGCGCATCTGACTAGAGCTAAACCCAGCCAAGACTGAGATACTGGTAGATAAAGCGAAATGTTTCCAAAAAACTTCCTTCCTCTAAGACTCCACTATGGAGGGCACCTTCCCCTCAGACTAGTTTATCACTAGCCTTCAATCCTTTTGGATGCCCAAGACACAAAAAATGTCAACTTTCATCTGCAATAGGCCAGAAATTGGCACCTCATTCCATCAGTACAGACTTTGACATGGTAAGGCTGAAGGTCCATAGATTTGATTATTGCAAGTCATGTCTAGCAGTGAAGCCACACCCCATGTGAAAGCTCCAACTTGTACAAAACACAGCACTCTAGTTTCTTGGCAGCACAGACTGCCACAAACACCATTCTGTGGCTTTGCACTCTACACTTGTTCCCCAATTAGAAGTTTAGGTCAAGGTTTATTTTATGGGAGCCTTTGAACAACAGGACAGATTGTCAGTTGCACTCGTGTGGTGGAAAGTAGAGCTTCTTAGGAGGAGCTGGAGTTAAGCTATGAATTCAGTGGGCAAGAAGTGATGGACTTTCATAGCTAAATGCAAAAAACCTTCAGTTTAGCTTTTCTTTCTTCAGAAAGTTCTTCACATGCCTATGACAGCCCCTCACACAAACACAGAAGTTTTAAATTAAGCTATTTCTCCTATAAGTTGTTTGTATTTTTAAACAGCTGAAGGAGCTCAGACACTACGGTTACTGGAGCCAAGTACATACATAGATGATAAAAGTGAATATAAACTATAGATTTATAAATCTATCTACTCTCAGAATAGGAGATTGGGTGGTATATTCCAAGAGTTGTTTCTATTCACTAAATAATTCTTCAGAATCTTATGCTACACTGACATTTAAGTTTAGATGTTATTTCAAGTCAGGCATATGTAATATCTACAGAAACAGCTGTTCCTCAAGAAAGCTTGATGGGAATATTTTAGTTTTCCCTAGGTGTCAGTTTCATGATTTGAAGATAGACAGATTGTGTTTAAATTTTGTAAGAGACCGAATGACTACTTGAGGATGGGGAGGAGAGTATTACTTACCAAGTGTTCCAATTTCCTTCTGCGGAGAGGTGGCTGTTCCATCAACACAGAGTCTGCTAACACGTTCAGCGTGACCTCAACATTAGCCAGCACAGAGTGCAGAGGACTGCTGTCTCCATCACCACCCATGCCATTCAGAGCAGATTCCACGTTCTCTGACCATGCAATTTGGGCTGACAGGACAACAAGCTGGGCCTGAACATTTAAAATACAGTTAGATTTTTGCTAAAAGTTGTTCCTCCCACAAAAGTGTATTAGATAGTTTGGTTAGACAAACGTGAATAAGATGGATACCTGATATTTGTCAATCCAAGAAATATAGAGAACTGGATCAATTGAAGTTGCTTTACCAAAGATTTCTACTTCAGTAACAGACTCAGCCAGCAGCTTTGCAAGTGTGACCCTCATTTCTTTTTCAACAAGTGTGAGCCACTCATTTATCTTAGGATGTTCTGTGATAGACACAGGTGTTTTGAACAGCACCTGAAACAATTAAAATTTAAAGTGTAATTTTAGTTTTAATTTAGACCAGATTTGTAAGTTTGCAAAAAACCCCAAAGACGCAGCTCTACCTCCTCTCCTTCTCGTGATGAGATCCCCAGAACAACAGTGTTATCTTCATTCAGGATGATGCTAGAAACTCCAGCAAACATTTTCTTGAAATGTTTCTGGAGCTTAGCTACATTCTTGCTGTTTCCTATGATTTCGAGCAAGTCCTCATCACCAACGAAGTAGAACCTAGTATTAGAGATAAGGTTAAAGCTTTTTAAAACAACTGACCACTGATGTCAAAGAAATTTTTTTTTTTAAATTAACTGAAGGCCAAGAATTAATATGTTTACTTGAACCCGCTATAACCCTTAATAAACTAGGGAAATGTCTGCTAGTTTGTGCAATGCTGTGTAATTCCTTTCCTCCATACTTCTGTTAGCTCATAATAAAAATACATGAGGGCTTATTCTCTGCACCATTTTAGTCTATCTAGAGTTTTCTTCCCACTTTAACACCTCATTAGCAGATAAATGCCAAGTATTGAAAGATTATGAGACAGCAAAGCTCCCGCTCTGAACACATGTTTGACGTGGAGGTTATGTTTAAAATCTACAATCCAAGGACATACCATACTACTGAGAATTGAAGGTGAAACAGAATGCAACATGATTCAAACACAGAATGACACCAGTTCTTAAGCTTTGGTATTTGGTTAAAGAGATTCCCAAGGGCTCATTTAGTTTAATGAAACAAAACTAATTTGAGAATTTCATTATTCAGTACCAGGTGAAAGCCTATTAAGCAATATTTATATTCAAATTATGCCATTTAAGTTACTAATCACAAGTGACCCACACAAAGAAATTGAAGTTTGTCACTTCCCAGGAAATGGGACCATAAAATGTCTAAATTGTTCACCCTTTATTTTTTATGATTCCAAAGCATTCATGTTTTGATGTCTGCGTATGCACTAGAAGGTTGCTAGCGGAACACAATAAAAGGAAGTACTTAGGCACTACTGTGCAAACGAACACAATTCATATTAGAGTTTATTCCAGCACAATTGGTTGAGAAGATGAAATTCCTTACCGAGGAAAGGAGGATCTCTCCCTCTCCAGATATTCTCCCAATGCTTTCTGGATCTTTCCAAGCAAGTCTGCTAATCTCTCCAGTGACCTTTGTACACCTTGGATGTTAAGAACATCCATCACAAGGGGAGATTTGGATACTTTTTTCATAAGTGCCAGAAATTCAGTACTGATGCTGTTAGTGAGCGAGAAAAATATTAAGCACACATTAAATGAGGGATACAATAGTACAAGTTCAATTACTGAGCATGAAAAAGGGTGATGTCTATTAATTTTATTAATATTGTGAGAGTATTATGGTGTGGCTGGCTTTATGCTACACTAAAGATGAATTCTAGTTGGAGCACTCCACATGGTTCCCAAGAACCAGACAATGACTAACTCAATTGCCAGTGCTCAAATGGACCATACAGTAAATCCACTGCCAACGTCTACCTCTGACTCTCTGGAGAGGTGCATATATCTGTCCTGGGACATATGTCCTGAACGTGGTCAAAGGCTTTGAAATGGATAAGAGACTGCTTGTTAGCTCAGGGTGGGAGACATCAAACGAAGACTGGACACAGGCAGAGACTGCAAGGGTGCAATCTACCTGCCTACCCCAATGCTAGATGATAGGTGGGACAAAAAGGGCTACCTAAACTTGCAAGGAAAGACTAAGGTCTAGATAATTTCTAGGTCTACAGGTCTTTTATTGTTTTAACCCTTTTTTTATGTGCAAAAGAAAACTATCCATATGAACAAGCTGTTCTGTCACTGCACTCATACTAGTCATAGGCTTCCAAAGTCTGCAGCAGGGGCCAAAACCCAGATGGACCTGCTGAGAACACTATTGGTGAACAAGACTATTTTGCTCTGGGTCACTAGAACAAAAAAGTGGGGGCGAATCACAGGATTCACTGAGAGAAGTGCAGACCTATCACTTGGAAGGGGTGTTCATGCAGCAGGCAGACAGAGGAATAAAGTCAATGGTGCAGCTTGCCCTGAACTGTAACTGAGAATTTCACACAAATCCAAAATAAGTGTACCTTTGGAACCTCTGTGTTTCAACAGGCAGTAAGTGCTTAATATCAGCACTACCAGTGAAGATCCCCTCCAGATAGACCCATCGCCTTTGGACATCTATCCAGACATCAAAGAGTGCCATGATACGATTCAATTTGTCCTCCCAGCTAAGGGCATCTTCTTCAAACACCTAAATGTTACAAAAACCATTAAGATTCAGTTTACCTTAAAAAAAAAAAAAAAAAACACACACACTTCAGCTACAAATCAGCATGATTTTAAGAATTTGGACAAGTAACACTAATCAAGCTAGTTTAAGAACTGAATTGGAAATAATTTTGCAAGTTTGGTTAAAGCTATAAAAAAGTATAATCACACTTATACACCTAGTTATTTGCCAAATTTGGCGCACACAGTGCCAGCTGAACAAATGTACACTAGGAAAAGAATACTAAAACAAGGAGGGAGCCAAAGCGAATTGAAAAGAAAAATAAAGTAATTTTACATTATACCTTGTAGTATGGTGATAACTTCATGGCAGACACACTGTTAATGTGCTCCTTGACCTTGTTGAAGAGATCATCCCAACCACGAATCAAACGACATTTGTTCTGATAGTTAACCAAATCCAGTTCATAAGTGTTCCACACTTCTCTTATCTTTAAGAAAAAAAGAAGTCAGGTTATGAACTCCTGACTGAAATAAATGTAATAGAATTAAAATTACTTTCTATAATGTAGAAATGTAGATACATGAGCTTGATTCTTATCTTTTTACAGAGCACATGAGGTTCATCGATTGCTGTGAATCATATGGTGGAAGATTTCATAATTATGTCTTGTGGGTCAGAGTTAAAGTTATTGGAACTCATAAAATGAAATTAGAGAAGGCAGTTTCCAGTATTCTACTTAGAAGTTTTATAATAGTAACGTACTAACTATGTATTTTACTTGATTTACCTTTAAGTTTAAGTTACAGTACCTTCAGTAAACTTGCAAAGCTTTTAATAAAACCCCTAAACCTATGGGGTTTCATGTTGTGTCAATTTTTGTGTTAAATTTACTCAGTTACTTAGAACTAAAAGTATATGGTGAAGGTCTAAAGTATTTCACTTTCACCATCCTGGGTATCCAAAATCCAACTTGTTAATTTGCTGACAGCAAATTAATTTACACCTCTAAAACCTCTCCTGCACAACAGGTCTAGTATATGTATTGATAGATACTAGCCTGTTTCAAGAACTCTTCCAAAGCCATCTCTCCCTGAGCCACAAGAAGTACATCTTTCACAATTGCTTCATTCTTTTGCAAGTCAACATCCCAGATCTGTCCCAGGGTTAGTTCAGAGACAACCCAGTTCACATGAAGTCTCTTCATCAGCTGCTTCCAGTGACGATCTTTAAGAGCCTCAGACTTCAGTTCAATCACCAACATGTTTATCTAGAATGCGAGACAGCACATATTAAGTTAATGGATGCACTTACCCTTGATAACTAATTAAAAAAATTAAGTACAGCTTACCTTCATGTAACCCTTCAGAAGTCTCTGAACATATTCATAGGAGGCATACTGCCGCAAACGAGCGGGGAAGTTTTTCAACTGGTTCAGTAAGCCATCCAAATTTTGTCGAAGCTGTCAATAAAATACAGAAGCTATGAAAGAATTCATCTACCAGCAACATTATGAGAAACACAATCACTCTAGTAAACTGAATATTAGAACAGTTATCAGTTTTACTTACAGTTTGTCATCTTAACATTTTGTTAAACTGTTCTTTAAGAATGGGAGAATCACCTTTAGATAATATTGATCATGCTTTCCTATTGTGCATATATTTAATTTTGCTAACAATAAATATAGCTGTAAACAAGGCAGGCAAACCAAATCCTAGATGTACGAAAACATTCAATTGCCCCTCAAAATCTCATCATTCCAACAGATTCGCCACGCTTTTGTTGATATATTCCACCTCAGCACATTATATGGAGTCAACAATACTGCTTGAAGCTTAATTCATGACCGTTGGTACAATACTAGTTCTGTCTATCCCTTGATCATTGGAGTAGCACAGCATGAAGTAATTTTACACTAGATCACAGTGGTCATGAAATTGTGACATTCTTCCTTACAGATCAGAGGCAGAAGCCTTGTTTCAGGTTTATGTATCCAAGAAGCATCAGCTTGAACAATAGCTTTTCATCAGTGAAGCTGGACAAGTGTTTGAGAAAAGTGCTAATTTAGATCAACTTAATTTCAAGAAACAGATATAGCATCAATGCTTGTCATCTGCAGATATAGCCTATAATTAAATATATTTAAGGTTGTACAGTTTCTGCAATCCTGATAATTTTTCAGGTTTTGCTTTGTAAGCCTTATCCTGTTGAAGCTTCAGTTAAGAGGAAAAGTTATTTCTGCAGCTCAGTGCTGCAAGTTAGATTAAGATAGAGGCTGCATTCTCAGTAATGAATTCTATTTTTCATATGCCAAAAAAACCCAGATACATAAGCACCATACCATATATTCTAGCTCATTTTCAAGTTGTTAGAGCATTTAAAATGTATTTTTACCTAAAAGGCGAAGAGTCTAATAGTATAGTTGTAGTTATGATTTCTATATACACTGAATAAAAAAAGGTACCTTGCGAGGCTGTACTGAAACCCATGGCTGCTCCTTCATCTGATCAATCTGGTCCCAGACCTTGGAAAGCTCAGACCAAACTCCTTTGAGGTCTTGTAACTCTTCTAAAGCTACCTACAGTACAAAGGGATATATCAAACTCTGGTCAGTAATATAGAAAGGATAGATACTTATTATCATTAAGTTAGATAGAACTTCTTAAACAAATCATTGGGATAGGAACTTGGCCAGGGTACTGGTAATTGGACAGAGACTTGATCCTAGAGCTTGCCTAGCGCATCTCTGGTGGCCCAAAAGGAGTTACCATATGTTGGCTGCTCAGTAGCTTAAGTCAGGCCTTGTCTCCATGGCAAGTTACTGCACAGCACGCAAGAGTGAACGCCTATAGTACATCAAACTTGCCTTGCAGTAACGTCTCATGTGGATGCTGCTACAGTGCAGTGAAAGTCCTGGAGTGTGGCTTAGCATAATATGACTCAGAACAGCATTTCTCAAACTGGGGGCCGAGGACTGGGAACAGTGCTATCTCCTGGAGGCTACTGAAGCCAAGCTGGGGAGATTTTAGACACTAAAAGTGCAGTGGCACAGCAGGGCTAAGGCAGACTCACTGCCTGCCCTGGCTCTGTGCAGCTCCCTCTGGCCTCCGGCAGGGGGGGCGGGGGCAGGCAGCGAAAGAGTAGAAGAGGAGCAGGGTGTCTCCGCGCGTTGCCCTGGCCCTGAGCGCCGACTCCGCAGCTCCCATTTGCTGGGAACTGCGGCCAATGGGAGCTGCGGGGGTGATGCCTGCGGGCAGGGGCAGTGCACAGAGATCCCCTGGCCCTCCGCCTAGGAGCCGCTGCCAGAGACACATGCTGGTTGCTTTCGGGAGCCACCCAAGGTAAGTGCCACCCGGCTGGAACCTGCACCCTTCAGCCCCTCCTGCACCCCAACCTCCTGCCCCAGCCCAGAACCTGCACCCCCCTCCCAAAGCCCGCATCCTGTACCCCCTCCCGCACCCAAACTCCCTCCCAGAGCCCACACCGCCTCCGGCACCCCAACACTGCCCCAGCCTGGTGAAAGTGAGTGAGGGTGGGGGAGAGCAAATGACAGAGGGAAGGGGGAAATGGAGGGGGAAAGGGTGGAGTGGGGGCAGGGCCTGAGCAGTGGGGTTGGGGGGTCCCTGAAAATTTTTTTCATAAAATGGGGGTCCTCGCGTCGCTGAAGTTTGAGAACCGCTGACTTAGAAGCTACTTGTCACGTAGATAAGCCCTTAGGGTACGTCTTCACTACCCGCCGTATCAGCGGGTAGCAATTGATTTATCCGGGATCGATATATCACGTCTCGTTAAGATGCGATATATCGATCCCTGAACGCGCTCACCGTTGACTCCGGAACTCCACCAGAGCGAGCGGAGGTAGCGCAGTCGACGGGGGAGCCGCAGCCGTCGATCCCGCGCCGTGTGGACTCCAGGTAATTCGATCCAAGATACTTCGACTTCAGCTACGCTATTCGCGTAGCTAAAGTTGCGTATCTTGGATCGATCCCCCCGCCCCAGTGTAGACCAGCCCTTTGGCCATTAAACTAACTAGAGATGAGACTGACTTCTACATCTTATAAAGCTGCCCTCAAGTGTCTGTGGTTGCTGTTTCAGTGGAAAAGCCAAGGGCTGAATGGGTATTGAGACTGAGTTACTCACCCCTAAGGCTGGACCATCCCAGTTAAGGATAGGGCACAGTGATAGGGCAGCATGAAGGGAGAACCATTGACTGCTATGCCTCCTCTATAAATGAATTGAAGGACTTCTGCCTACAAGAAGTCATCTGCCCAGAACCATTTACAAGCACCACATTCATGGATTTTTAAAAAACAGTTTGTACCTGCACACGTTCTTCACTGCCACTGAGTAGTC